AAATATTCTATTATACAATTAATGTAAAAACGGGGAGAAAACATCGTAAGTAGATTTAAAAACCTCTGATATAAGCATGTCGGGTCCGGGAGATTTGTTGTTATTTTGGGAAAATACAGCCGCACGTATTTCTTCCTCAGAAATATCACGATCTAAAATATCGTTTCGTACATTATTCTCAATGGTCAAATTATTGTTATTTATATCCAATCCCGGGGGTTCTCCAAATAATGACCTGAAGTGGTCATGAAGTTGATCGACATTTAGATCGTCAGCTTCCGCCGTTTTCTTTTTAAATGTTTTTCTAATAATTTTCCAAAATTTTCTTGGCTGAGTTTTGGCCAATTGGTTAACTTTTTTACCCTCAGCTATTTTATGTTTTTTAATCGCTTTACGTTTAATACGATTATAGTTTGTTCTCGCGCTAACGAAAAGGGTCATATTTGTATCTGACTTATCTCTATTAAAGATATTACGCTTTCTTTTAAAGTCGCGTTTTGCATTAACGCAATCAGCATCAAACCATTTTTGGCTAGATCGATGACCAGTGTCGCGTGTATACCTATGAAACTCTTTATTAAATACGAACATTGAATGAAAAAAAAAAACGGTGAAATGCAAAAAAAATTATATAATTTTCAAAACAGTAGATAAATATCGAACATAAAAGCACAGTCAATCAATTAATTAGTCTTAATTAAAACCTATCCAGGGACTGACAATAGAATTTTAGAATGCCTTTTACGGAACATGCAAACTTTCCTTGATGGACAAACTTCTATACAGTACCGTCGGTAATTGTCGCAATTATCAAGAGCCTAACAACAATCATTTTCAGTGTTTGTTGGTTTTTTTTCATATAAAAGGTGTCGAAAATTAAACTTAATGAAACAAAAAAGGATTATTATCAAAATTTTGTAAACTATTTCAATTGGTGTAAATGCAAGCAAAGGCTATTTTTTTTCTCGACATCTTGCGATGACAAAGATTGATATATATATATAGCGATCAAGGCGATTAATCTCTAAAAAGTTAACATCCAAAGACAATTAATGCTGTTTCTTGGTTAAAATCCTCGCTTAAAGTCATAAAATAACATATATGCATTTTCGACTTCCATAAAATTTTGAAAAGTGCCGTACGACTAGCCAATACAGCGTGTCCTTGCTAGTCGTACGTGACTCACGTACGGCTAAAACTTTTGGCTAGCCGTACGGGCCCATACGCTAGCCACTTCCATTATAAAAACCCTACTAAAACGTGTTCTTAATAGTACATATAATTAAATTTTTGCAGTTTGATTCTGCCTTTCAAATTTAAAGGTGTGAACATATGTTATAATTGATGTACACATTTCAAAAATATAAGCAACTCTTTTGAAAAGTAAATTGTTAACATGTCTGTCAACGTATGATGCTGCGCATCGTAATCGTAGCCTAATATTAACTGCAGGCAAATCATTTTTATTGGCTGCTCAAAAGTCTAATTTGCATAATTTATTCACACAATTGCTGGTTCTTACTACTTATGTCTAATACTGCGCATTGTCCATTTTAATTGTTCCTAATTTGCACCAAATGCTCCTGTCACACTGTGTACTGACGATTTTTATTGCTCCTTGTATGCCTCTGTGCCGACAGACCTTTTGATCATGCACAATGTTGCAGCCCTGATTGGTTAATCACCCTTGTCAAATATTCTAATGACGAAATAGACATCTATTTTTTTACGCTTCATCAGTGAACTGAATGACCTTAGGGGGAATTAGGTTCCACACCTGTCAAATTATACTGTAGTAAATTACAGCACGTCATAAAATAGCAACACATTTTTTTCAGTTACCAATAATCATTTTAAATATTAAGTAGATTTATGATTTTTTTTGTTTTATTGGATTAAATTTACGGTAGTAGAAATGCGTATCTGTCGGGGAAAGGAATTTGGTAAGTAGATATATATTGGATTTAGTTGATATTTTACCTGATAAAAAGATACATGACCGGCGATGTACCCTATTTGGACAGCTTGTCTACCGAAAATTAAGTACAAAATAAAAGGATATATCGTCAATTTGAAGAAGTTTCTCATAGTACCCAAATTAAATTTATGGTTTATCTTTGAAAATTAAGCAGTCATTGCTTAAATCATGTGGTGGGATCATCAGCAAGCTTGAATATCGGACAAATGATAATTAATGTCGCGGTGTCTTCAATTAATTAATTAAAGCAATTCAGTTCCATATGATGTTTTCATAAATAATATATAATGTACACAATAAAATTAATAAGTTCTTCATCAAGATATATTTCAGTTGTACCAGCGTGTACACCTATACCGGAAATGGGTATAACACGTCACAATCTCGGTCTCGTCTGTCTCGCGAGAATGACAGAACGTCAAAATGGCGGCGCCCATGAACTTATTTCTCAAGTAAAAAATAGTGTCTTCAAACACGAATTTCTCTCTTATAGGGTTGATGTCAATAGGAAAACTGTCATGGTTCCTCTTTTTAAATGATGAATATTTATATTAGACAGACATCAATCCATCCATTCCTATTCCTTTAACATATCTTACGAAACTTTAATTTGAAAACGATATTTGCGCTCGCTGAAGTGATTAATGTTTATTTGAAAAATAAAAAAAAGAACTTATATGTTTGTGTTCTAAAAATAATCGGCGGCATAAGAGGAATTTCTTATTCATTTTACAACACTTGAAAAATTACTACAGAAAATGTGTTGTTGTTTTTTTTGTTTTGTTTTCAACAAAAGTGTGTGTGTTTTAAGTTTATTTATACTCGGCGCCGGAATAACCATATGTCCGAGATTATAGCATCTGGGACGTCTTTTTCAAGCAGATTCTTCCTGGAAGCCCATTCTTGGTTCTTTGGTGGTAAAGGAGACGACAATACCGTCAAGGCATCAACTTTCTGACTGACGACAACAAAAACGGCATCTATTAGCGCCAAACCTCCAGAGTAAGTCACGACAGGTCAACCAATCACCTCTGGTACTTATGATGACTTGACTATGACCTTCCGTGTGCCTTCTCTGCGACGTGCACGCCTCTGGAGGGATTTGGAGAAGTTTCAACAAAAACTTCCAAACACGCCATTTATAACACCATTCATAGCACTGACGGCTTCGATGTTCGGGAAATGGTCGACAGGGAAAACCCTACGTAATAACCGCACACCCTGTTAACAACAGATTTTCCGCAGTATATATTTCAAGCTAGTGAGGTTTAAAAATACACGTAGAATCTACCGATTGAACTACCATAAGTTGGTTGAGTGTTGGCGGTAAAAAAAGAAGATATAACTTCCTGATCAATTTTCACTTAGGTTGATTCAGTTTTGAATAAGCTTTGCAGATATGTATTTTTTAAAGAAATATTTAGCTTTAATATTATCCGACGCCGTCAGTAATGAAATGGGAATAATTTTCTGAAACGTGGTTTTATTCGAGATTTGCTTCTGGAGAAGACAACATTCTGTCCGTATAGCATGAATATTAATACTCATCACAAGACAGTATCTTATTGATCTCAATTATGGTACATCTAAATGTGTATAATTTTTATGTTCAATAAAAATGTTGCATCACTTGCAGTTGTTATTATCATTCAATAATATTAAAATGACATAAAGTATTTATGATGAACAGTCCTAGAATATTTTGATAAGGAACCGTCAGTTGTAAAATGTTATTGTTATCTGATAATGAACAGTCGTCATACTTGCTGGTATGTCATTTATTATTGACAGTTTAGGTTTTTCAAAATTTGCATGATTAACAGTCCGAATGTAGACCTCAATGAAATGTTCTGGAATATTAACAAAATGAATAGTCAACCACATTAACCATATATATGAATGGTTGAACACAACAGTAAGGATAAATAGCGCAATGTGCATATCTTTTTATTTTGGTAGCACATTTTAAGGAAAAAGGAAAGAAACTATAAGTCTGAAACATTCTCTCATAGCCTCCCCATCAGTACATTCAGTGCTTTGATTCTATTTCTCAATTAGTTTATAATCTACTAGACTTTAGACTTTGCGCTTCACTAGAGGTTCAAGGTGAGATAAAATGTTGAAAATAGATATAGAGCCCCAGATTTCTATTTACGATATTAATCGATGATAGAAGTTAAAATTTTATTGCTGCACAAGAAGTAATGAAGCTGCTTATATTATTGTTATAATTTCCATCTAGAATGACAATGATTCATTGCCCAGTCGCATTATACTGGCTCCGGACTGATCATTCACACATAGCTTTAATATATATATCTCAACGATTTTCAAGCAATTGCTGTATTCCCAAACATCTTGGTCTTCTCTTAGCAGTTTGCTTGCAAAAGAGGAATAAAACTTGTTTGCAACTGTCAACAGTTGTGATAAAAAACAAATTAAGTAAATAAAGTCATTGTTGCTGTTGTTGTTTATTCTTCTAGAGAGCAGTATGTTAGCTTTAACAAATTTTATCACGTTAAAACAATGGTTCTTATGTTTGATTCAGTAATTTTCACAATCACAGGTAATACTATAAAGAATTGGAAATTACTTACGAAATATTAACAAAACAAAAAAGAAAGAAAAAAAACAACACAAATTTACATTTTTTTTTTGAAAAAAAAGGAAGTTTCGTCTTACATACCAATAGGGCAAAATGTGTTTAAATAGTGCTTGAAATTATATATTCTTTTGTCCAATAGGGTTACAGTATTTCAAATAAATCGTAACACATTTACTTGGGTGGTTCGGCTTACTATAAATTAGTCTAGTAACACGACTGTTTTAAAAAGAATCACTTAATTTGTTAGTGTATATTAGTGAGCATTTAACAAATTAATTTGGTCGAATGGCTGTGCCGTTATTGACCAATTTCTTTTTTGTAAATGCTTACCTATAAACACTAACCTGTACTAAATGTTCTCACATTTAGATATAAATGTACATTTAGTCAATACCATAAATCAAGAAATGAATCAAGCTATAAATGTGTATCTCTCAACCTGGGAATGAATGTATATATATATATAATTTGATAAAGTGCAATGGTCATGAATAGTGAAAGAAATGTTTCATGAATCGAACTCACAGAACTCTTTGTAAAGTTCGGATCATAATCATCAATGCACACAGAATACGTTGTTTTGTTCTTGGCGGAAAAATAGTACCCTTCTAAATCATTGACAATGTATTCGTTACTTCCTAGCGTAATATTTCTTGAAATTATCAGAATGCCATCCCTTATAACTTCAATGTCAGATTGTGGTACCCGGACCTGCAAATCAAGACAAAAGGATTCATTACTTAAAAAATAATAGAAAAAGTGCCCTTGCAACGGTTATTTGTGATATTATCATTATTTTGATATATAATCCTATATAAAGCTGCTTCATAAATAATTACAAATGCGTATGTATCATCATGAATATATATAAATAAAATCACGATACTTGTACTATCAAGTGGACAAAGACTTCATACTCACTACGAAATAATTTACAACCCTCAAATTTATATAATCATCATCAATGTACAATTGTAAAATTAACAAGCTCATGAAATCTTTTTATCATGTATATATGTACATTATAAGCTATATTCGTAGATACAGACAAATTACCTGTTTGCAGAAGAATGGTTTTGTAAGTGTTATTGCATTACTTTGCACCAATTGTTTTATAGGTGTTGGACCCTCGGTAAAATATGTATACGTGTCTCGTTTAGGTATATTCTCCAACGAAGTGTCGGTTTCCTCGCTATATCTGTCATTACCGTTGTAAAAATCAGCTTTAAATCTAATTGTCGAATTCCTAATCACTGCTTTCCATTGTTTGCGTAAGCATCGCTCGAAAATTGGAATTGCAACAGATGGGTTTATTCCTTTTAAATTGTTAAGCTTTTTATAGATAACTACTTTCAATGATGAAATAATACATTCTCCGCTTCCAAGACATGTAGATCTATCTGTGTAGGATTTACTGATCAAGTAAGCTATTGCTAGTGAAGTTATTTTGATTTGCCTGCAAGGAATTCTGAGCCAAGTAAAAGGGTTTGTACGTTCTGTGTTTTTAATAGAGTGCAATTTTGAAACTGATAGCTTAGCTTCTGCATCAGGCGTTAGACGCAGTTTTACTACTATCACAGGTACATACCAGTTTAAAGCAAAATACCTGCAACCAATGTTTGTTTTAACCATTCCTTCCGGGCAATAAATAGATAGGCAGTTTTTCTGGAAAATGTAAATAATAAAATGTAAATAATAACTGATAATATGAGTAACAAATGCGTTTAATGATTCAGTGTTAAATACACACCTAAGCGACATTTAAAATAATGCTTGATATCTAAATACATGAAATTACTCAGCTAAATTACAGATACATAACAAAATTTCCATTTGCCGCCGTACGTGATATAAATGGAATCGTTGCAACTATGCATAGATCCCTGACCTGTCTAGTTCTAATTATCAAAATATTGGATGCAAAATGCATTTAATAACATTTGTAACCACAATTTTGTAATGATAACTAAGTTTGAAACATGGAAAGATAATAGACAGTATGAAGTGGCAGGAAACGTATCTTACTAAAAAACGTAATTTTCTACGTTCTTTGAATGTTAAAATATCCGGTGTCGTGTTATTTTAAAGACAATAGATTTTCATTTGTGTTATAATAATAAAATATGTTTAAAGTAATTACCTCTATTCCTGTAGAGCAGACTGTTTCGAACATTTGGTTATCCTTTAGTGTATTACTGTTTAACTTTGACAGTTTTATTACGGAACTATCAACAAGGAGAGAAAATGATGAAGAAAAAAACAATTTAAAAGTTTCAAAACTGCACACAGGATTGATGCTGTCAATTTGCTTTTTAGAACAGAGTAAACATATCCCATTTCTGTATATATTTTGTAAAATATGCTGAAACGGTAGACGAAGGTTTCGGCATACCTCAAGCAAGTGTCTATTGTTTTGACAACTTTTAATTTCCAAAAAGTTATAGTAACAACGTTTATGCGACCAATCCTGGTCTACTGGTGGTTCATATATCACTTTTCCCAATCGATTTTTAGCATATTGTTCAATTTCAAAAGTGAGATCTCTTTCTATTCTAGCAAATGATGATATATAAAGATAATTCCATTGTTGTAATTTGCTCGTATCTAATTTATTACATTCAGCACAGGCTTTGTTAATGTAAATCATGTTTGTTTCTAGTGATGACACTGGAGATAACAATGAATTTCCAAATTCATCCTTTAAACGACATTGAGCAGCTTCTGCGAATGGTGGCGTAGCAGTTTCACATTGTTGTACCATGTAATAACCAAAATCATTTGAATATACCGTTGCGTTTTCCTCGGCTTCTCCTTTTGGATTTAGGCATGCAACCCGTCCTGATTCAATTAAATTGTATCTATCAAGATGGTCAAAACAACAGTTAAGTTGGAGACCACAATCTTCGCTGCAACTGCACGACGAGCAACATGGTGTCCTGCCTGTATTTTTTTCTAAAATACGAGAGGCAGTTCTGTTGCATACATTGGAATACGGACATAATTTATAAAGATCTTCTGGAATGTCATCACTGCTGAATTCATTCATTGATCTTTGAGTTAAACACATCATAATTATTAAGCATCTTTTAAACTTTTCCATTTTTCTAATGTACACGAGTTGCCTTAAGCAAATTGATAAAATGTAGTATCTGGTACAAATGCAATATAGAAAATAAGAAGAGTTTTGCTGTTCTCAGGTTGCATTAAAAACTCCTGTTGAACTACATACCTTGCGTCTTGCTTATATACAGATTGTTGTACAATTCTATACAGGTGCTTTAGATATCTAAATTCAATCATTTTTCTCTCTAAAACTCCGATGTCTATTCAGTATATAAAAATTGGCAAGCAAAAACACATGTATCCAAGATGTATTCAGTGTTGTTTCCCAGCCAATGCAAATCAGGAGGAAGGCAATTTTAGCTTTTGTATTGTCAGAATATTACATAATCATTTTTTGTTAACAGACTGTATTATTGGGGAGCAAATTTTTGTTTTTATTACGTTTTTTTCACATAAACCGCGCACAAAAATGTAAAAAATAGAAAAATAAAAAACACTAAAAAAAAAGCCAAAAGACAAAATTAAAAATGGTTGCAGGGTGGTTTTATTGAGCCTGTTCAAAAGGTATGTAAAACAAACTCCCTCCCCGCCCCCTAGCAGGCTTTAAACAGAATTAAACATTTAACTTAAATAAAAAAAGATTTTAAAAACGATATTAACTAGTGTAATACACTTTTTAACGTGAGTAATTTGCGTCAATATAAAAAACATGCGTTAAAGGCCCCGGGTAATGTTTGCGTTACATTATAGGGTGTAATGAAAAATGACCTTTTTTACGTTCCCCTTCTTTTTTTATATATTTAAAAGAAAATTTAAAATCTTGAAAATTCAAACTAAAAAATTTAAATCGTTATAAAACAATTTAGGGTTTAAAAAATTAGCAAATTTTTTGTTGACCTTTTAAAAAATCTTGACCCTTGGGTTTCAAATCTTATATAGAAAATTTATAAGAAATTCACCTGAAAAAAGATGATGGTTTTTTGGAGACTACATTTTGAGCTTAGAAAATTCCCGACATATGATATCTTTGTGGACCAAAAATTCTGGGATAAAATATGCCCTTTTAATCAAAATGGCCCGCCCCCACTTGGTCACCTGTTTTTTTTTGGGTAGGAAAAACCATTTAATTTATTTTTGATTGCCCTTTTTTGGGGCCCCTACAAAATTAGTAGGGAAAAAACCCCCACACCACACTTTGGATTTGATTTTTGTTTTGTTTGAGGAAAAACATTTCGGTCTTTTTTGTAAAACCATAAAGCCAAGAGCTAAGATATTTAGCATGTAGCATTTTTTCTGAATCTGTGCAAAAAAGATATCAGTCATGCCCCTGGGGTTAATTTTCGCCCGCCCCTGGGTCACTTTATTTATAAAAACTTATATAGGAAAACATATTTAAGTCTTTTTATGTAAAACTACAAAGCCAAGAGCTGAGACATTTGGCTTGTAGCATAAAAGTGTAGATTTCTACACAAGTTACTCAATCATAATCTTTAGGTCAAAATTGTCATCATTTGCTTTATGTAGCTACTATGCCTGTATGTATGGCATATAGCGTTGCCTAAAAGGTTAAAAAGGTTTTATGAATCATGAACTTAGGGTAAGAAATGGCTCTACCTAGGAGGTCATATAGTATCATAAGCATAATTAAGTTAAAACTTTTTTAAGACAAGTTTCTGGATTACCCAAACACAATCAAATTCGGGCGTATATTGCCCCGCGTTTGTGGTGCTCTTGTTATTCAATGTTCAATGTTAATGAATATTTAGTTATTTTCTTTCTAAACGAAAATCTGACAAGATTTTGTGATGTGAACAGACATTATTTTGATTCTAGGGCTTGGTTGATTTTATGTCACCCGTTGATTTCTCACCAATAATAATTTTAATTCTATTTTTTGTTGCCACATGATGAATGGAAGATGTCTGATACGAACGCCAATGATTTTAGTTACTGCTGACTTGGTCATAAACTAACAAGTGGTGACCAGCGGTAGATGCATGGATGAAATAAAGAGAGAAAAAATACTTGTTTCAGTTGCTCTTTAGATTTTTTATATAAAAGAAATATATTGTATTTATCTGTCAAAGCCTCTGTATTATGTATTACTTTATATATTAAAAGCAAAAATTAACCAATAATGTATTATGTCACGTCTCGGTGGTGGCCAACGTTGAAACTGACGAAGGCTAGTTACAGTTTTTACAGTGTTTTGTTTTTCTTTCCTGTTACAAAAACATATATTTCTACATCAGGTATGTTAATAAATGATTGTAAATAATAATATATGGTTTGCAAATTTTAAGCTCTTTTCTGTCATACCATTCACGGTTTCAGTGATTTCAGGATAAACAGTATTTACATTACCAGTGTTATGGGTGAATCAGAATAATGATCAAGACTGGATTAAGATGTGTGTACACACTCCTCACTGACATCTACGTGATCATATTTGCTCTGTTCAGAAAAGCATCTCCTCTTCAAAATCAAAGCCAAAAAATTTACCAGATTGTTCAATAACATCAACATATCCATTCTGAGTTACGGCGGCCTTGCCTTGTTAATCTTTATGCTCAATTTCTAAGTCCAAGTCCGTATCAAGCAAATCGTCGGATATGTTCAACAGAAAGGTGCTTTCTAACAATTAACAGTAGGGCATTTATGTACATGTTAAAAGCCGCAGACGAAGACGAAGGCAGACAAAATTACGAAGTCTCTTTTTTGATATGAAGGTTATTTGTGTACAATCAATAGGTTTTGAAGTGTGTACAAAATGATTTTATTATAAAAATGAACAAAACACGGTTAAATTTGTTTGTTTATATATTTTGATAGCGGTTTTCCGTTAAAAATACTAAAAATAGAAACGGATTTCCCAAAAGTGTCCTATGAACGAGCTTGGATCAACTATAAATACAAAGTTTAAATGCTTCAACATTATTGTTCTAAGGTATAACTTTCGATAACAGAAAAATGGTCGACTAAATTCCATCTACGCTCTTGTTGATCTGCAAGATGTTTATTTTTTCAGTCAAGTAAAAACAAAAAAGTTACAGGATGCAAAGTTTAGAGAAAACGGTGGATATTTCAGGATATTCACTCGTTATTTCTAGAAAAAATATCAATTACAGTAGCACCTTTGTGTGTAGGAGCGTTGTCCTGCAGAAAATACTGGCCTTTCATACCTGGTCCAATAAAAGGATAAACTTTATTGAAGTGGTTTTCAGTTCTTCTTCTTAACACATCATTTCTATAAATCTTGGATGTGACAGAGCTGCCTCTAGAAACAGGAATTTAGACAACAGTTCCACGGGGATATCGGAAAAAGGACATAACTTTCTTGATACTTGTCAGTCACTTGGCAATGCATGGTCGAAGAACATTTTTGGTGGCCCAAATTTTATTTGTTACACGTACAAACTGGCGTAAAACAGTGAAACCAGCTTTCATTACCAGTGACAATATTTAGGAAACATTTTGAATAATTTTAGAGCGCATTGAACTCACTCTTTCTTCAGATCAGATGTACGCAATCTGGGTATACATCTGGATGATATTCGCCTACTTTCAAATGACTCTTCAGAATAATATAAGTTGACCCTTTTCTTTAGGCTATCTGAGTTAAAAAACGTCTTGCATCTTTGTCAATGGTAAGCTTGACTATGTAAATGTTTAATCAGTAACTACGGAGCTTTTAAGCATTTTTAATTGACTTCTGCCCATTTGTTGAATGTATGTACTCACCGCAAAATAGTATAAATACTTTTCCTAGTTTTGCTCGAGATTTTCTTTAAGCCCGTATTTTAGCACTTTTAACTGGGCGTTTACCAGCCATATTTTACATAAAGTTATCGTGTAAGGTATTTGTAAATGTATTTAAGATTTTATTCGCTGACTGCACACATTTGAAAGCATAGCATTGTTTATAAAAACAAGAATCACAAGCTAAATGAAAAGATAAATTGTTAGTACTTTATATTTGTTACATATTGATATCTGGAAAAAGTGATCCCTCGGAAGCATTAAAAACAGCAAAATTACATGAAAATTGCAGACTCCGTTTGATTGAGTCTGTACATGAAGGGTATTGTAAAAAGTCAACATCTCATCCTAGTACTGGCTTGAGCGGTACTAAATGTTAAACACTTAAAAGCGCCGGAATCAATGATCACGAAGGACCGGAAAAGTATTACAACACTGAAGTGAAGTACGGGGCAAATTTTTACGGATGAAACACAGGACTTGTTTCTGTTTTTCTTTATTTTACACTGACTCATCCAAGTAGAAACGGTTCTTGTTTTCTAATACTACGTAACGCAAAGTAAAGGCGGGAACCAACGAAGAAAAATAGTCTGGCTCTTCCATATACATGTATGGTATCGTACTCGTTACTAACATAATATGGATTTTTCTGTCCGTTGAAACGTATTCTCGCCTCAATATCTGCCATTTTATCAAATTTAAATGCAATCTATGCACAACAACCTTCATTAACTTCTTATTGATATAATTGCAACGAACAAATTAGTCACATGGAACATCTATCTTAAATTTATCAATCTACCTTATGTATAAAACTAGATTGCTGTAAATTAATACGATTTTGTTGCCATTGTCAAAAATAGAATAAAAACTTCTCCATCATTTTAGCTATCAAAATATTATCCAAAAAGATCTGATTTTTATACTTACATTATTCTATGACAGAATAGCAAAATACAAGCTCAGTTCTGTCATTTCTGTCAAATAAAAATTCATTTATTCCAGATTAAACCACATTCAGATGCCGCCAGATGTCGAAATACAAAATATTATTTTTTTTTTGTGTTCAAAACCACTTATAAATCTAGCAGACTAATCATATTTTTATAATTACAACATTCTAATATACATGTACAACTGAATGAAAAGAAAATGAAAATACGAGAGACTTTTGATGGTAAATTAGATATTTCTATTACATATTTATGGAAGCCTTGGAGGGTC